AATCAGTTCATATATGGTATATCGTTGACAGTGGAATTGGTCTACAACAAGAAAAAAGGGTGTAGTGTGGACAGGGAAGAGTGTATTGTGGCTCCACAGCCAGAATCAGAAGTCAGAATTAGAAACAGATTTATTGCCTGGTGTAGTTTACACAATACGAGGAATTTGTTCTGGTGGGTTGGTGTAACAAAACATCAATAAATAGAGCACACAATAAATATACAGTAAAATAAAGTGACTAAAAATAAAAAATAAAAACAATACAAGCTCCAAAAGATACCAGATAACCAGTTTTCCCTGCTTGCATGTCAGAAAATGTTTTGTAGATCAGCTGTAGTACTTGGTTGTTCCACCAGGCGGATCCTCTTAACACTGTATTGACCAGAGGAGGTGTTCACTACAGACAGTTCTGTGTTGGCAAGCAGAGAGCATCATGGGAGTTTAGCCACCAGCGGGGCATCACGACAAAGACTCATGTGATGATTAATGACCTCCAGCCAGAGCTCATATGCTGGGATTGACTAGAGCAGTGTTCAGACATCCCAAGAGTCCACTGTTGTTCGTTTGAATTATCAATAAATCACCAATTATTGATTAAAAAAACTACTGAGAACTTGCATCCCTAGTGTCCTGCCACACATTGTGCTCTCCCTTTATGACGCGAAAGCAGATTAAACAAAGGATAGAGTTTGTGCTGATATCATGAGATGGAATTGTTGCCTTGAGTTTTGCAAACACAGTATGCTAACACTTCCTCTATATTTACTATGGTGGCTGTAATATTAGCAGCTACCTACAGAAAATATTTGACGTGTGGGTTTTGTGTAATTTCTAGGAGACAGAGTTGGGCATTTACATGACTACCTGTATCACTAATACGGCCCTCATGGGTGTCGTATCTGAGCCCTGGTAACACCTATGACCAATAATGGACCAACATATTAAAGGTTATAGCTCCTTGTGGACCCACATATGAACAGCTGCAGGCACCAGCAACATGTTATTATATTACAATCTCCTCCAGCTGAAGGACATGTTCCATATGTGGCCATTAGACCGCTATTGATGTGTTGAAGCACATGTTGGTGCACTTGTAGCGTGGTAGAGAAAAACTGGAGGGTACACGGACATCATTTGAACCCTTATACTTTCAGGAACACTACATTAAAAGTTCCAGAGATCAGCTGTTTTAATCCCACCTGTATCAGAAGGTGTCTTAAACACACAGAGACCGATCCAGGTGTGTTTCTGAAAAGAGTTGAGGATAAAGCAGACCTTCCTCCTCTTTTGAATTGTTCCTCGCCGCTCTGCTTTGTTTACAAACCTGCTCTGAATGCCAATATCTGGTAGAGGCACCTTTTGTTTTATTCCAGAGCACATCTGCAGCCAACAGTAAAGCCCCTCCAGACTCCAGACTAGTTCAGCAAGTCAGTCTGGAGGATTGTTTTGGAAATCCTCCCTCGTGATTCCCTGCTTTCTTTGTGTCTCCTCTCTGAAGCCTGTCTTCCGGCCTTTTTCAACATCTCTCCCTCCCTCCCCTCGTCTCTCGTCTCTCCCCCCCTTCCTCACTCTTTCAGTCTGCTCCACTCAGCTGCTCAGCCTCCTCGACGTGCTCCTTAACCTCTTACCTTCCTTCCTCCTGGCGTTCCCTTCCCCCTCTTCACAGATTTAACTGTGTCTGTTAAATCATTTCCAAGTAAGCTGCATTAAGCTACTATAATTTATGCTTTTCAGGACTTTGCACATCACGAGCGTCTCGGCATAAAAGAAAACGGATCCAGCATCGATCATCACCTAACTACCTATTAGCTTCCTTTGTCTTTCATCCTTTCCTTACGCTGCGTGTAGTCGCACATGGAGCCCACATGTGTGTAAATCGCACACCGCTTCAATATGTCTGCAGTTGTGTGTTTTCCTACTAATTCGTCGGGAATCAGATTTTTGTGCCGGAGTGAGAAACCGTGTTCACGCTGCCTACTTTTTCTACATCTGCTGTGCATGTGTTGCACATTGTTGCCCGCTTACAGTGTGTCCGTGTGTGTGTGTGTGTGTGTGTGTGTGTGAGTGTGTGTGAGTAAGCGTGTTGCTGACAGTAAGTCTGTCTGTCACCTCCAGTCTCTATCTCACACACACAGGCTGTCGGGCTTTTGAATTAAATCCTAATACTCTGCTTTTTTTTACGCACACACACACTCATGCTTCATCTCAGACTTATTAAAGCCCATTTTTATAATTCTTTAATCCATGTGTGTGTGTGTGTGTTAAAAAAAACCCTCTACAGTTCAGTTAACATGACATACAAATGTGCTCACACAGCATGTTGCGCCTGTCTGTCTCCCCCGTTTGCGAGTCCGCATGACTGTGTGTTGGGGTGTGCGTTAGGGGGCAGCCGGGCAGGTGCAAGAGACAGCTGGTGTGGGCAACTCGAACCGAGGGGGAGGACGAGAGCGAGGGGAGAGATTCCTGGAGAACGGCGTGAATGCGGGGTAGCAATTGAGCTGCAAAAAGAGGGGAAGACGAGTGTTTGCACGAGTGCCTTGTCGCCAGTGGTGAAGCACTTTGATAGAACACACTGAGCCAGTGTGCGCGAGCGAGACAGATGGAGAAGCAGAGGAAGACAGGAAGAGCATTTAAACACTTTTTATAGCAGCAGATTAATCAGGAAAAAGGGATTGATTGGATAATGAGAGAAGAAGTGGCAGGAAAGAGACAAAGCGTTTTCTGCTTTACTTATTTAAGAATCCTTCCTGCAGCTCTTCTTAAAGGGATCATTTTCTGTAGTTCAAATGTGAACTACAGATGAATTTTGAAAAGTTGTCACGTCGTGTTTTCGGCAGATTTCACCCCTCGGAGATCTACAGCCGCCTGTCTTCACTTGAGGCAACAGTGTGAGAGTCAGCAGTTAGCGGCCAAGTTCTAACAAAAGCCCTTTCTGTAGGAAACACTCGACAACAAACTCATAAAAGTGTTATTCTAAAATAAATCTTGTGCAGTTGATTTCATGCTCACGTCCCATACGGACCTTTGGAGGCAGTGCTGTTTGTCTAGTCATAAATCAAAGCAGGATCCCATGTTGCTCCGTGCAGGTGTGTTTCTGTAGTAACACAAACATCACCTGGTGTAAAGAGCAGCTCAACTTTCTGGTTAATACAGAGCGTGTACTGAACAATTCATTGATTTGAAATTGAAATCGTAGTGTAAAACAGTGCAATTAGTGAATGCTGGAGTTTTGGATTCAAGGGTTTTCAGGGGTCAGTTACCCGTCAGTGAGTGTGTTTTATTAGTGCACACTGTGGTTTAACTAACTTAATCCCAGTTCAAAGAGTTTAAATGGTGGATCCAGTTTGGTAATATTCTGTCACGTGTTTTAAATCGACTACACAGTAAAAAACTGAACTGAAATCGGACTTATGTCCCCAAATTATTT